ATCCAAGGGCAAGGAGAGCAGAGCCTCGGCAAGCCCAGAGAAAGGCTGCAAGGCTGTTATGGCCCGCCAGCTGTCAGCAGAGCTGTCAGCAGAATCAGACGATGAGGGGGTGGAGGGGTGGAGGGGAACAACAGTTCGTCCTTCTGAAGATTTTGCTCATTGTGTATCATGCCACAGAGACTGCCAGAACTTAATTTGCAGCCTTTCAGCTGGGCGCTCATGCAAGGAACTGATAAGGTCTGTGTCAGGATTCCAGCAATCGCCCTAATTAAATCATGATTCTCGAGCCAAACTTCAAAAAAAACTTCAAAGGATTTATTAGAGGCAATCTACTGGCACTGCCCTGGATGAAGCCAACTCTGGCATACATAATTTAGTCACCTGTGACCCTGTTTCCCCCTTTCCCCCTTGCGTGTCTCATAAACCAGATTCTACAATTGAGCCCATTCACAGGCTGGGTGTCATCATTCATGTTTTCCAATTAAATATATTCGCAGCCAAAAACTCTGGTATTTTAGTTACAATCTTTTAAAGATAAGAGTTGGAATGTACTTTCAACTTTCCAACTGCTGCACTGCTCTTCCAATTTTCTTCCTCCGCGCCCCCCTTTTTTATGGCAACTACTAAAACAGACATAGGAATGTTTTATGAGTTGACAGTCTGTTGCTGTCATTAACTCCTTGAAGGATGATTGCCTGGACTTTTCAGTGGCTGAAGGCAATTAATTCACAAGAGGTAAATAAAGAAGGGTTTTTCGTGACAAGGAGTCTTGTTTCTGGCTTCTGCTAAGGCTACTTAGGAGGAGGTCACCCCAACCCTCCTCACAACGAACCCCTGAGATGGAGTAACTTAAAGGGAAGCCGTGGGGAGTTAGTAGTCTTTGCCAGGAACAGTAGGTTGCTTTGGCTTACACTCCCTCCAGCTTCGACTCATGCCTGTTGCTGTTTTGCGTTGCCTTGCTTTGGAGATTGCTCTTGACTTTTGTCTTGGACCTTGCCCTTGTTTTGTGGGCTGCTTTGGGCCTTTGCTTCTCTTGCAACCACTTCTTGCTTTGGACCTTTTCTTTGCCTGGAGGACGGCCATTGTCTTGTATTCTTGACTTGTGGACTGGACTTGAAACCCTGGACCTTTCCCCTGAGAGCGTGTTCCCACTCTCGGGACTTCCGTTGTCCTCTAGGGTTTGTTGTCTGGGGGACTGTGGCTGCCTTCAGAGTAGTGTGGAGATGGAGCCTTACCGGTTGTTGGAGGACCCTTGGTTGAGATAAAGGACTCTCTAGAGCAGGAGTCTCCAACCTTGGCAACTTTAAGACTTGTGGACTTCAACTCCCAGAATTCCTCAGCCAGCAAAGTCTTCAAGTTGCCAAGGTTGGAGACCCCTGCTCTAGAATATGGGTGTCAAACTCATCGTGTTGCCGTCATGTGACGTTTTTCCCCATTTGCAGAGATGGGGTGAGTGGGTGGGTGGCCTGTGCGTGACGCATCCAGCCTGCAGGCCGCCAGTTTTGACACCCTTGCTGTAGAGCAGAGCAACTTTAAGATTTATGGGCTTCAACCCCCAGAACTCATAGCTGGCTGAGGAATTCTGGGAGTTGAAGTCCACAAGTTGCCAAGTGTGGGGACCATTGCTCTAGAGGCCTGCCTTGCCTTGATCACTTGGGTCATAACAGAGAGATTGTGTAAACGAGTGGAATGTGGTTCAGAAAGGAGACTCCCCTTAATTGTCATCAAAGGAGCCACCCAGGGCATAAAAGAGGACCTGACCTGAGGTGCTCACATTGCAGCCCTGGTCAAAAGGGCCCAGCAGAGATTATACTATCCGAGACTTCTCAGAAAACAACAACTGAATGAAAAACTACTGGTGACCTTCTACCGCTGCACCATGGAGACTATCTTAACTTACTGCATCTGTGTACGGTTTGCCAATTGCACAGTGCAGATAGGACAGCACTCCAAACATCATAGCCCAGGGGATGGGTTTGGCTGCCCTCTCCCCTCTTTGGAACAGCTTTATAGCTCCCGCTGCCTTAAGAAAGTTCAAAACTTTCTCAAAGATCCGTCTCATCCTGGGCACCCTTTTTTTGAACTAATACCATCTGGCAGACGGTACAGGACTGTTAAAAACAAGGACAAATAGGCTGAAAAACAGCTTCTATCCCAGGGCAGTAACTATTGAATTCTACTGTATAGTGCAATATTAATATCAGGGGTTTCCAATTCAATGTATAGAATGTAAAGGATATGTGTTTGTGTTCATTTTCATAGTCCTAATGTACACTGAAGATGGTGTTTGATTTCATTGTACAAGGTGGAATGACAATAAACTAAACTAAACTAAACCAGGAGTCCCCAAGCCTTGGACCATGTAAGTGCCTGGCAATCATATGAAGCTTCGTGTGATGACCCGGGGCATGGCACAAAAGCAACAAAGTCACAAAAATAGGTAAAGTCTCTTTAATACCTCCAACTTGGCCCCCTATGTCCAGTTATCCCCGGCTGGAGATCAAACTCTTCCAAAAACAGTCTACAAAGGGAAGAAATGCAGTCTGAACTCAAAGTACAGATAAAGTAGAAATTTAAAAAACCAACACAAAACAAGCTGAAGTAAGTAACATGACAGGCCAGGATAATAAATAGACTCCCAAAAGATAACAAAGCATGCACAGGGAGGATGCCAAAACCCAGATAAGCCTAGATAAAGATAATGCACCCTTTGCTTCCAGCAAGGTGCTATGTGCAAACGTCCTTCTTATATCCTATCCTCCCAGCTGCAACTAATGAAAGGGATCAGGGCCTTTTTCTCTCCCGTAAGCCATGTTGCTCCCTTCTCCGTTCCTCCTTGCATGCCCTAGGATGAAGAGGGGATGGCCCTGGGTCTTCCTCTGAATGCCCAGCCGGATTGTGCCCTTCCCCCGTTTCTTCCACAGCCACCGGAGCCACCCTCCCACTCCCTGTCAGCTGCTCAATCTCCCCCTCAGAATCAGACTCCAACAAGGGCATGACACTTTGTTTGCATATTGCAGGGGATTTGGTTGTGTGTGCAAAATCCACACCCCGCCCCTCACACTGCCGGTCTGTAGCAGAGGTGATATTCAGTAGGTTCTGGCCAGTTCTGGAGAACCGGTAGTAGAAATTTTGAGTAGTTCGGAGAACTGGCAAATACCACCTCTGACTGGCCTTCTGTCCTTTTGCAAAAGCTTTTGATGCGGAGAAGCCTGAAGAGGGCTGAGACATCCAGAGGCTTCTTGTCATGAGTGGAGCTGCACACATGGACACACACATACACACCAATCCGCAAAGGTTGGGGACTGATGGTCTAAGTCTCTTCTATGGATGAATTACTTTAAAAAAAAGATGGACTCCACACTCTAAAGAAGATACAACCATAGAGAAGTGGCCACTCACTGATTAAGGCAACAGAGAGGCCACCAAACTGGCCTGAAGAACCCTGGAGACTTTTTACTCCCTTACTTAGCAGGGTGGCCTAGAAGTGGAGCTCTCACCTCACAATCAGGAGACTGAGTTTGATCCTAGGTACAGGCAGTTCTTTCTCAACTGGGCACAATGAGAATTTATCTGCTGAACAAAACTCCGCATTGGTGCCAGGAAGGGCATCCAGCCAGGAAACATTCTATTCGCTCCATTCTGTTGCCCAGACTCTACCCAGCAAGGGATTATGGGGTCATTAAAAGAAGATGATGACTTAGTAATAATAATAGAATTCTTTTATTGGCGAAGTGTGATTGGACACACAAGGAATTTGTCTTGGTGCAAATGCTCTCAGTGTACGTAAAAGATACATTCATCAAGAGTCAAGAATCGTAAGGTACAACATTTAATAACGGTCATAGGGTACAATAAGCAGTCAAATCATACTAGGAAATCAAACTAGTCCATATAGATCGTAAGGATACAAGCAACAAAGTTACAGTCATACAGTCACAAGAGGGAGGGGATGGGTGATAAGGAGTGATGGGAAGATCAATAGTAGTGCAGACTTAGGAAATAGTTGAACAGTGTTGAGGGAATTATTAGTTTAGCAGAGTGATGGCATTCAGGGAAAAAAACTCATCTTGTGTCTAGTTGTTCTGGTGTGCAGTGCTCTATAGTGTCGTTTGAGGGAAGGAGTTGAAACAGTTTATGTCCGGGATGTGAGGGGTCTGTAAATATTTTCACAGCCCTCTTTTTGACTCGTGCAGTATACAGGTCCTCAGTTGAAGGCAGGTGGGTAGTAATTGCTTTTTCTGCAGTCCTAATTACTCTCTGAAGTCTGTGTTTGCCTTGTTGGGTTGCAGAACCAGAGTTATAGAGGTGCAGATGACAGACTCAATAACTCCTTTGTAGAACTAAATCAGCAGCTCCTTGGGCAGTTTGAGCTTTCTGAGTTGGCGCAGAAAGAACATTCTTTGTTGTGCTTTTTTTGATAGGTACATTAAATGGGTACGTTGACTTGAGGGCAGGTCTGTCTTAGTTTTAGTCATTTCCTGCACCTTCCATCAAGTCTCTCCTACCTACCTACCTACCTACCTACATAGCTACCTACATTCATACCTACCTACCTACCTACCTAGCTACCTACCTACCTTACATACATACATACCTACATACATACCTACATAACTACATACCTACCTACCTACCTACCTACATACATACATGCATACATACCTACCTACCTAACCTACATACATATATACAT